CTTTTAAAATTCCCTCTCACCACTGGTTAATTGTACAATAATCTTTTATTAACTTTGACAGTCAGCTTTTGGGCAGGTAATATGAATATGAAATCCTTGTAAAATAATAAAACTCTTTTCCCTCTTATAAAATAACAAACTCCTCTAACTAAAGAAAGGCAAAAATGAAATTATCTTTTTATTGTCCTATATAAATGACAATTTAAGTTTAGATAAAACAGAAAGCAAAACAAAATCTAGCTACAATTGTTTACAATATATCAAACAAAACTTAATTATAACTGGCAACTTTATCTTCTTTACTAAGAAAATCTAAATACAAATGTATCAGCATATTAAGGCTGCCCATATCCACGACCCCGACTTTGATAATTGTTATAAGTGTTATAACCGCGACCACGATATCCACCACGCCCACGATATCCACCATATCCACCACGTCCACGATATCCGCCTCTTGATCCGTTATTCAGGTTAACATTGCTGTTATAAAAAGGTCTACGTTTTGGTAGATCTAGTGCTTCATCAACTATATCCCGAATATTTGCTGCAAACACGTTTACACCTTGATCTGAAAGGTGATATTTATCATCCTCACTAAGAAATCTAGGGATTGCTCTGCCTTTATTAGCTAGGTTACTGTGATCACACAGATAAACTTTTTCGGTATCAAAGTATTCCTGCTTCAATAAAGCACTTATCAACTGACCTTTCATATTGAAGCTTTCGTTGTCAGCTCTAGGTGTTGGTGTAGATAAGATAACTTTTGAAGATGGATATAAATCACATGTTAAAGATATAATTTCCTTCATTTTGTTAACACAAATTTCTGCACTTTTTTCACGTAGCTCATTTGTTAAGGAGTGAAACGCAATTATATCAGGTGCATGCTCAATTTCTCGCAAACTTTTCTCGGTATCAGGTAAAGTGTAAGCAATTCGCTTCTCCATTGTAAACTTTGATGACAATTTAGATACATCAATTCTTTCAATATTTGACGTTCCAATTAATATAACATGTGGTTTGTCTGCATTATTTTGACGCAAGTTGCTTTGTGTAGATCGTCTAGTTCTTGATGGAACATCCTGAAAATGCGCTGCACCATCATCTCTACATGCATGTTGTTTGAGACTGTATAGCTCATCATCTTTTTCTTCTAATCTAGATTTCAGTTCATTGCATGAGCTTACTAAAGTTTTAAGTTTATCATCTTTCTCATGTATTGTAGTTTCTAATTTATTAATTTCAAACTCAAATTGCTTCTGTGATTTGCTATGGTTCACCTTTTGAAGCTCAGACTGAGATGTTTGCTGATCAAGTTTTGACTGTAACTGAAACTTGTCCAATTCTGTTGTGTGTTTAACCTGTTGTAATGACATCTTCAAATCAGAGTTTTCATGCTCAAGTGTATTTAATTTGTTGAAAAATTTCTGATCACATGCATTTGTGGAATCAGATTTGGCAACTTGAATTTTGGAAACACTTTCAAGTACTTTTGCAAGTTTATTATCATTTTCTTTAAGGTGATTTAGATATGAATCTTCCATTGTTTTCATTTTAGCTGAAAAAAGTTCAGATTGTTTTGTACAAATCTTATCTAGAGCAAGTACGAAGAAGTTTTCCATTCTCTCTAACATTTTCTCAGGTCTAAATTGTGTTACTGACCATTCATTATTTTGGTTGTTTACTTGAGGTTCACTGTTATTGTTTAAATCACCTCTGTTTTCAAATAATTGCTTTCCATGTGTTTGGTCATTATTAACTTTGTCCTCATTTGAGTCATTGTCATGTTTACCTGATTCACTGGTAACATCAGTGTTTGCCTCGTTGCCCTCTTCTACAGTGCTAGGTGTATCATGCTGGACAACCCGGTCACCATTGAACTCTTTAATTTTATTAATCAGTGCAATTAGGATGGGAAAGTCATGTTGAACAAATTTGTCTTTGGCCTTACCCTGAGTCTGAATCACCCCAGTGTTAATAAAGAATGTTATTTTGTAGAGAAGGGGGGTTTCTGAATCATGTGTATGCTTCGTTGAGATTTCAATACATATGCTTTATTACCTCCTGCATTCTTATTCCAATCAGCTGGATCGTCAAACCACCTTATGTCATGTTCAGCGGAATTACCAAGATGATCATAATACCATACATGAAGAGTTTTGATCCACAAGAGAATTCGATCAACTTTCACACGAAAGGCAACCATGTTTGCCTTGTCCTCATATAGATTTATGTCTATGGACTCATATTTAGTTCGTTTGGCCTTATCGCCTGCTGGCGTTTTTAACTTTGTAGGTATACATTCAGGAGGATATTCTGAGTAAATGCTATCCAGACTAAGGTCGTTGGACTCTTCAATTGTTTTGATAATAGTTTCAATTGTTATTTCATTGTCCGCCATTTTGTTTATGTGCGATACACGCTGATCAGTTGAACACGATATATGCAGGTTAATCAATAAAATGCTCAAGCGACACACTTACATAGGGTTAGTTCATATAATTAATATCAATTTAGCTAATTTTCATGATGTTATGCTGTCGGGAAACGTGGAAGTAGGCAGCATTTTTCTCTGCTAAATTTCCATTGCCGCTTTCTAGTCAAGGGCAGATGACTATATTAATAAGGAAACTGAATCAGTAAATCATAGAAATCGGGGATCGCGTTGCTTGGAGTCCCACGTGTACAAAACATTAGAACAGGAAAGGCAAATCATGGTATTTTAACAACTGAAAAACAGTTTAAAATTAAAATTCTCATTTCTGTCGGAGTACTTAATCTGTTCTTGATATGCGTCAACATTGTTGTAATTGCGTTTTGCACGCAATTCAGTGTACCTTCTAACCATGTGACTAGGACTGGGGAAGGTGTGTTTCAACACTTCGGTGATATCTGAATAGCAACAAATTTCAGGCCGAAAAAAATTTGATTTATTTGAGAATGTATTTCAATTTGTTTTGTACTAGTAATTGGCTGTCTTTTCTTCATGTCATTTCTATAATTTATACAAATAAAGGGAAAACGCAACTAGTCACATTGACTGTTGCTGACTGAACACTCCCCGTTGAATCATTAGTGTTTGCATAAGAATTTTCGCCTAAATTCTACTGTTGGTGCATTAAGTTACACAAACTATCTAGGTTTGTTCTTATGTTGTACAGTTACACCATTGTTCCAGGTTAGGGGAGGGTTTGCGCCAGTAAACATGTTTAGGCCCACCACATTCTTTATGTGCCTGTCCCAAGTCAGGAGCCTGTAGTTCAGTGATTGTCAATGGTTCATGTCGGTCATATTTCAGTATTTTTTTAAAACTGTTGTTATAAATTAGGCCGTTAGTTTTCTCAATTGTAATATTTTACATTTTTCATGTCGGGGCCTTTTATAGCCGACTATGCGGTATGGATTTTCTCATTGTTGAAGGCCGTACGGTTGCCTATAATTGCTTACATACATCCACGTCACTTGAACTCTGGTGGATAGTTGTCTCATTGACAATTATACCACATCTCCTTATTTTTATACCAACAATAATTTATTATCTCCCTATAGAAATTAGCCCCCTATAGAAATTAGCCCCGTAATCGTCATTATATATATTTTTTGAGTTGTAGAATTGCTGTCCCACTAATGTATACACCTCAAATCCTTTTCACAATAGACATTAGTTTCCAAAGGCTTCTTTTTAGGACATCGAATTTGAAAATCACAACAACTATCTTTGAAATCTTCTCCATTTGAACAAATAATCAGGAGCAGTGGCGGATCCGGGGGGGGGGGGGGTCCCCTTTGGGGTCCCCTTTTGCTGACGATCAATGCTTTTGAATGGGAACATATGGTTGGAACACCCCCCCCCTTTTTTTATCCCTTGTTGAGACACCCCCTTTAAAAATAACTGGATTTGCCACTGATCAGGAGTGATGCGGATTGTTTGTGGATGTTTTGGCTATTATTATACCCCATTGCGGAGGGTATAATGTTTTTGACCCGTCCGTCCTTTTCTTGTCAACGCAACTCCTCTGAAACCACACAACAGAATTTCATGAAACTTTGTAGATAATAAGGACATATATTATTTAGATGTGCATATCGACAGGAAATTATGATTCAATTTTTTTTCTAGGAATTAAGCTCCTTTTAACTTATTGGCATGACATCAATATACTACTGCAACAGTTAGTCATCGAAACTCCTTTGAAACCACACAACATACTATGAAGATGTGCATATCGACAGGAAATTATGATTCATTTTTTTTCTGGGAGTTATGCACCTTTGAACTTATCGGCCTTTTATCGGACTTTTTTGAAGCGTATCCGATATAATATAAAAATAATGAGATATGTTATGATTGCCAATAAGATAACTATCCACCAAAGTTCAAAATAAGTTGCGCCACGAAACACGTGTTGTATGCTTATACGTTCATGTATTTATACAATTCAATCAGAACTAAATATTAAAATGCAATGCAGTGTAGAATTCTTAGATGACAACGGTTGTCTTTAACTGCTTACTTCCACTTCATTTGAACTTTGGTGGATAGTTCTCATTTGCAATCATACCACATCTCCTTATTTTTATAAGGATAGGCAGTCGTCTTAGATCGGCTGATTTCGTCCCTCCATTTAACGAGAGTAGCGGATTTATACGAAGATTGTCGATTCCATGGCTAGGTTTAATTTTTCATAGTCCGACCTTCTTTCGTCGTTCATGACTGGTCGCAAGGTTTATACATCAAAGAGAGACACGACAGTTTCTATGCTAATGGGGTTAGTGTTGCTCATTCTTTAGTTTTTTGTATTGTGTTTTGTGGATTGCGGTTTTTCTGTTTATATTTTTACTTCTTGTCATAATGTTTTTTAAAATCAGGGTTTTGATAAGCATTGGTATTTTCCTTCCTTTTCACAATATAATTATGATGACTTCAAAATTTTTATGCACGCAATCTAAATCAGGACAAAATATTCAAAGAGGACTAGGGACAATAATGATAATGGTATTTTACATTTTTTTTATAAATGTTTACTTAGAAAACAAATATATCAAAACAATGAATGAAAATAAGCGTTCATGACATAAACCAGAAAAAAATGTCAATATTCAGCAGATGTATGGAAAGTTGATCTTTATTCTTTGCTGAAATAAAGAAAAAACAACATCAGTTTAAACAAAATATTCATGTTAGAAATCAGCCTGTTGGGTTTTCTTGTTTAAATTGCTTCACATTTAGGTATTTCGGTACCTGTTAGCTAAATACACGTTATGGGTTTTGCTCATTGTTAAAAGTTCGAACGGTGCATTACTTATAGTTGCCTACATCCATTTCATTTGGATTCTTGTGAAAAGTTGTCACATTCGCAATCATAACACATTTCCTTATTTTCATGCTTTATGTACACAAATGTATCGGTATACCGGAAGACCGTGCATGGACGCTTCGAAGAAGTTATTTTTCACCACTATTTTTCTGCAATACACTATATTTTTACTTAATTGACGACATTCTATATAATAATTTTATTGTATTAAGAGGTCAGGCACGTGTAAAAACATCAATGTTTGTAAAACAAAATTAGATTGTATAAGACCTTCGAATAGATAGATGATGTCGAGTCAAGTTCGCAAGACACAATATTCACCAGGAAGGCTTAAGCGTATAGGTCAAAGTTCTGGACATCACAAAGTTGTATCTACTTCTACTCAATGTCGATAGAAACTTAGTTAAAATTGACTATTACACTAGACACTAACAGCAACACATTAAAAAAAATCCGCCTTGAATGCTACAAAGACTCTTTAATATCACAGTATGTGCCTGTCCGAATTGAGGCTATCAAACATACATTTTTTTCCTGTAAGATTTGGAGATTGTTCAGTTTTTTCGTGTGTTTACAATATCGTTTTTTACAGAATTTTTCAAACATACCCATATTGTTTCCCCAGTTCTGTTATTAAAGCCGCACACCAGGTTGCTCCTGCTTCAGAAACTAATTGCAGCGCATGAGATAAAGCAAAGGAAAAACCTTGTAAATCTGCTTTTTTGAATCTGTGGACTGGATGGTCTCCATGGTTCCCACAATCAAAACCCCAGTTGCAAATTTGACCAACATGACTATACTGTCCTTGGTCTATATGACTGCACCTTAAATAACCAGTTTGAGCTATGTAGATGTCAGTTCTATCGTTAGCACACACCCAAGAGGTTGGTTCCTGGGCACTGAAAAAAATACAGAAAAAAGACATTTTGATTAAAGCTTAAAATAACTTATTTTCTGTTAAAATTGCTAAAAACAGAAAATATGTTCCAATAGAATAATTTGTACGATGTCAGTTAATCAGAATTGCACTGAAATCATAATGATATCAAAAAATGTCTAATATGCTAAACCGCTATCATACAGCACTGCGTTTATGATGGAATAGTGACATCTGCATAATTTGACTCAGATCTTAACATATTAGATTGAGGACCCACTGTTGACGAAGACAGCCACTGCAATGACCCAAGTAGTTGTCATTGTTAGTTGGTATAGTGAATAATAGGCTCATTGAAAGACAGCCCATCTCAGGTTTTCACGTCACATAAAGGCAATAACAGTTTGTTGTTGACTTGTGTTTTCGTCGTTTGCGATATCGATTTTGATTTAGAGATTATATTTTAAATGATTTGTCTGCACTTTATTTTCTTATTTCTATACGAACTTAATTACTTTACTTTTCCAAATACAATTCCAGAGGTTGAATATTCAATCCCGCAAAACAAATGTCTATCCAATGTTTCATATAACCCTTGCCAATGATTGACTTTATACAATATATGTTTAATGACGATGAGAACTTTTGTAAATGCAGTGTTGAAGATCGCATTATAAATAATAGTACATTTTGGTCTGTCAAATCATGGAAGTAGTTTACAATAGTGTATATATAAAAAGTGTCAAATTGTTCGTTGACGGAACAGAATTCGGAGAAGTGGCGGATTCAGGGATGAGGGGAGGGGTCGTACGTCCTCCATTTTGATCTGAAAAATATCATGATGTTTGCTTATAATATTAAAGAAAAATTCCACTTGCTTTCACATTTCTTTAAAAGTAAGTTCCCCTTTCGCCGGACCCTGGATCCTACCGTGATAATTAATCATAAGCAACTACAAAACCATGGTATATTACCACCCATATAAAATAACACAAAACATCATAAACTGAGTAACTTTAATTTATCAGGGGCTTATAATTGTTCCGTTCCTTAGGGTCATAGATTACAATACCAATAAAAAAAAATTCAAAAACAGGGGCGAATGCAGGATCCGGTGAAAAGGAAGAGGGAGTAATTGTAAAAAATGGTAAAAGCTCCGATCGATTTTTTTTTTTATTTTTTTTTTTCGACGAATCTAAGTAAAAGATGTGTAAGCCTTATATATATATATGCTCCCCTGAATTCTTCATTGTATAAAAGAGAAACTTTGTATAACGCTCTGAGATACAACAGAAGTACAACTGATACAAACAAAAATTAATCAAACAATTGATTTGTGCTTAAAATTAGTAAATGAACATACCCCTTGCATCCGCTAATCGGACACTTAAAATTTGACAGCTGGTACCAATCCACACTCATCTTCTTTAGTAGAGATTGTTTAATCAAAGTCTTTTAACGATCTATTTCAAATGTACTAACGTACGTAAAACACCTATTCTAAATATAGCATTTTTCTTTTAATTTACTCGAATCAATTTAAAGTTCAGAGAAATATGAATACCCGAATTACTATAATTAACTATTACGGATAGACATTAAGGAGTTAAACGAAGCGCATATAATTTGAGGCATTTGTGTTTACTGAATATGATACAAAAGAATTTCGTTTCTTATGATTAATTATATAAATTTAATATGTGCATAAAAACTGTTTGAATGAATGCTGTTTATTTTTTTTCAAGGGTGAGGGAGGGGGGTGGGGGCTTAAAATTATTTTGTATATTTTTTTCATTATCTACTTCTTTCCTATATAAAAATAAGGAGATGTGGGATAATTGACAAGAAACAAATATCCACCAGGCTCCAAATGACATGGATGTAAGCAATTATAGGTCACTTACCGTACGTACGGCCTAATGAGAAAAAAACATACCGTATGGTCAGCAATAAAAAGCCTCGACATGAAAATTGTGAAACAATTCAAACGAACAACTAACGGCCTAATTTTTAATAATACAATTAATGAAAAACAAATATGACATACATGAATCAATGATAACCACAGAACTATAAGCTCCTGACTTTGGACAGGTACACAAAAAAATGAGGCAGGGTTGAACATGTTTGTAAGCGCTCAATCCTCCCCTTACCTGGAACAGTGTAAAAATTAGTTGCAAATAGCCTAACTCAAAAGATCACAAAATACAACTAATTTAACATAAAAAATAGAAACAAACAAAGCACCGCAGTTACTGAAAGCTAGTTCAAAGCCAATTACAACTAATAAATAAATCATGTTATCCCAGATTAAAGTATCAATCAGTACACATCCAACGGATTTTTTGAAAAATCATAAACAGTCAGAGAAACGCATACACTTGTGCAATTCCAAACTATAAGTAAACAGTGTCAATATAATGTAGGGTCATGAGTACTCATAATTGTACATATGTAGCAATACATATTTATTTATGTTTGATTTTTTTAAATCAATCAATGTTAGTAACGATAAAACTATAAATAACTAAAGGATTTTACTATGCTTTTCAATTGATAACCTTTAAATAATAAATTTATTCATAGGATCAATTAGTTTTCATAGATCGGACCTTAATCTTTGGGCTGTAAAAAATATCCCGTTATACATTTTTTGTAAAACAACTTATCTTCGTTGCAATAGATGAAACAGTGTATTCAAGTTGATTTTACTTTCTCCAACTCTAGAACTATCTAAAGCATCGACATTCCGTTTCGGCAATCTAATTAAAATATGGTTCTCTGATTTCGTTATACTCATATGACTTATAAATAATAATAATTTATTTTATTAAAGTGTCACATACTTGTCTACAGATTTTTATACAGGTTATATAAAATACATTGCATAACAATAAAATAAGACAAATACCCAGCCTAGACAGGCTTATGAGACACTATATATACAAATATATAACTATTTAACAAAAACAAATTGTAAAACGTAGAAAAATGTTTAAAATTATCCGAATTTTACACAATTTTTTCATTAATTAAATAAAAAAAAAAAAAAAAAATAACTTAAAATAGGAATGACACAATTAAGTATGACGTACATTAGTAAAAAATAAATGATATGTGATAAAAAAAAAAAATATGTTTTAAGGGGTTATATAAACAGATTGCGAAGAATAAATTGAAATAATCTTGGTTTTTTTTTTTTTTTTAATTATTTTTTAAAGCCTCTCAGTAAAATATATATATACGAGCACGCGAGTTAATATGGATCAGATTTTAATCAGATTGCCCGTTTCGGTTCAGTAAAAAACAAGTTTCATAACAATTAACTAGTTCACGACTTTATAATATGGTTAACAGATTATTTGTTTGACATTAAACATCCATAATTGCTCATAAATCCAGTTAAGGACACGCAACCAAATTAAGGAATTGATACAGTCATTGACAAAATAAGCAACTACGACTAGCACGCATGCTATGTCCGTTTTGTGCATATTGAAAATGTTAAAAATAGAATGGAATCTTATAAGAAAGTACAAATGTAGTAAAATGGCTTTATAGAATAACATGTATCAGTGTCTTAAATATGACTATTAAAAAGTCTATAAATCTTACTATCTTTTATCATTCTTAACAACAGTGTAAAGTTTTGAGGAAATCAATCCACGCACAACGGAGAAAATGTTAAATTTTTGATGAATAAAATCCCATAACTCAAATGTATTGACAAAATGGAAAATCATGTAAACGGAGAAGAAAATTACTTTGATGAATTCTAGACCTGTGATAAATTTTCAGGAATAAGTATTGCATCAAAGTTTAGTTATTGTACAACATTTGAGAAAATGCCCAATTTTTCTTGAATAAGTCCCATAGCTCTAAAATTACAAATAATAAATCGTCAAAATTGAAATGGTGTTTTTTTCCGTCAAACCTAATGTTGTGTTAAATTTCATGAGAATTGGTTACAAGTTTGAGTTATCGCACGAAGTGTTGCCATCCGGACGACGGACCAACGTACAACGTATCTTTTTCTGTATGTATTCTTCACCTCAAATATGGGAAATCGAAGAAATCCTCATTTAACCCATAACCTACCTAAAATCACACAATACTGCACACTCAACTTAAAATAATAATATTTACAGTTAAACATAGATGTTGAAATTCATCAGTCTTGTCAGTCTAGGGAAAATTTTGACAAGAACCAGAAAAATAGTCAGGAGTATTTCAAACTTTACACAACTACAGAATACATGTGTAGGATGCATAGGACACAGGGACTGACAAATACATAATACATCTCAACAACTCTGTTTATAAATGGGGGAAAAAAAAAAAAAAAGAGAAAAAGGAAAAATAAGAAAAATGCACCTATTCAAAGCTGACACTACATTGCCAAATAGAATATTTACAGCCGTAAATTACACAGAATTATATTATTATCTCTATACCTTTGTAATTTGGTTTGTGAGAATAAAGATATATAACAAGTTAATTAGTTTGTATCAATCTACTTAAAATCTGATCATTTAATTGCCAACTATCTGATATATGTTCAGCATCAAGCCAAGAACGGGGACAATTATAAAGGATAATTCTGGTTAATAGGACAGCAAAGGAAGATTTTTATTTTAATAGTATATGATTTTGCTATTAATTTTCAAGACTCTACCTTTGATTCTTGATTTATTATACTTTTGTTAGATACAGACAAAAGTTACACCATATTTGATAATGTTAAACTCTATTATGATTACTCGTATGATGAGACGTTTAAAATACGTGAACCTGGGAGATACCATGCAGTGCTTTTGAAAAATAAGAGATTGGACAATGTGGATAGAATGCTTTTCGTAAGTTTAGGCAATGGAAAATAGTTCAATCAGTACATTATTATTTTCAGTATAGTTTAAAACAAAAGAGAAAAAAATGTTTCAAGACGGTTTACAAAATCATTTTTTTTAATTTAGTGTATAATGATTTAATTTACTCGAACATGCATTTATGAAGACAATGAAATACTTAGGATAAACTTGTTGTAACTTATTTATTGAAAGTTAAAATAACAAAATCGCCTATCTCTTTTGGCACAGTTTTTGATTTTTTTATGCTTTAAAATTCATTTTACTGAGAAATTTAAAAGGAAGTTATTGGTTAGGCCAATTAGAATACAAAACAAAAATATATATTCGAAATTCTATTGATTTATACGGATAATTGAATCCGAGTTTGTTGGAATACGGTATTTCATAAATGTTTGTAATGCTAGTTTAAATATCTATATTAAGATCACTTCCTCTCACATTTCTCAATAACTAGGAGTTTAATAGGTCTACAGATCAATAAGTGATATACTTTTTCTCGTTTTATTGGAGCCATACTTACAATGGATTAAAAACTACTTTCAATAATGCTATATTATTTGACATCCTTGTTTCCTTTATTTCACTTAGTATAAGGATTACTTATTTCACTGTAACAAGATCTAACAGAATTGCATGGTCACATTTTAATTAATTCATTTACATTGCATAAGCTTCAAATGAATTTGAACCCCCCCCCCCCCCCCCCCCACCCCCACCCCAACCGCAATCAACAAAAAACCCACCCCACACACGCTCTTATTTTAATATGTGCATAAAAAGTAGACATACACTTTTTTTTTTATTTTGAAAATCACTAAATATCTATAATAAGAACTCAAATGCCCGACATGCAGAAATCCCCCTTTTTGGATAAAGTTTTCATAATTGTCTTCTATCTTATAAGAGAAGGGGGAAGATACCGATGGGAAATTCTGACTCATAAGTCGAAAGTAAACTGACAACGCCATGGCAAAAAACTAAAAAGACCAAAAAGACAAACAACAGTATACAAAACGCAACATAGAAGACTAAAGACTGAGCAACACGAACCCCATCAAAAACCGGGGGTGATCTCAGGTGCTTCGGAAAGGTAAGCAGATACTGCTCCGCATGTGGCACCCGTATCTGTTTTCAAATCATCTTATGTTCAGTGCAATGAAATGAAGTACTAGTAGTCCATTTAAGTTACTTTTAACTTTAGGTAGTGCCTCGATGGTCTCGTGGAAGCGTGAACACCTTGAGTCTGGGAGGAATGGTTTAAACTCCATTCAAGTATATTCATCTTTTTCGCCTCTTAATAAGCATTAAGAATAAGCCCTATAGTTAAAATAATATATCTGAGGAGGTTTAAATATCTTCTTGAGAACGGTACCCTGTGCGGTACTACGTCCTCTAACCGTGTCGGTCCAGTACAAAGCAATGTTCATATCCCTAAGTTATCAATTTGTTCTCGACTTAAGTATGATAGAACGACCATTTTAGTATCCGAAAATACAGCTCCGTAAACTGAGATGGAATAATGCTCGGGTAAATTGAAAGTAAATAGAACTCAAATAGGTCAAGAAAACAGAAAGTTGATATAGCTCCGGT